AGGCGAGATCAGTCCGAGATGCGTATCGGACAGTGGGAAGGCCCGCAAAAAGCGTTCTCGGGAGGTTTTGTGACCCTCTCGCACCGCGCAATCGCTCTCTCATCGGAAGTGACCATTTTTTGGTGCCTGCGGCGCGTTCAATGCTCAGAGTAGCCCTTGTGTGGTCATTTTCTCGCGCCTGCGGCGCCTGCAACGCGCAAGTGCCACATAACCAAAATTGGACCACCCAGCGTCCAAGACCGCACACATACGAGAACCACGAAAATATTTATATTTGTATATACATTTAAATAGTCTGCTTCTCGGACCTACCTTCCAAACCGTTGAGGTGTGCTCTCGAGGGTGGGCGAGAACGAAATCCGCACTCCCATGGACGCAACCCAGAATCCGGCTGAGCGACTTCATCTCGTCGTTCCCTCCGGACATCCGTCGCTTACATGGTCGGCATCTCCTCGATCACCCGCGGCCATTTACTGGCATTTACGACCAACCGTAAATTTCTCTGATTATACTGACTTATGTCGAGAAATTTACGGGAAATTCGCCTTTCCGGGCGCTTCCGCAGCCGTCGATCACTTATAGATCGGCCGGCCGCGGCACGGCACAGCCACGCCACGTGCGTCCACCTGCCTCCGTTGGGCGTCGCGCTTCGCGCGCCGCCACTTTGCTTCCAGTGTTCGAACTTCATCGTTCTCTCGTCGCCCTCCCTCTCGTCTCGATACTTTCAGGGTATATATCTTTGTATCATACTCTTACCTCTACTGTAATTGCTCTGAGTGACTTCCAATACCTGCAAATGTATTTATATACGAGTTTTTGTTCATTTTCCTCTCAGTTCTTGAGAGTATACCAGATAGCACCATGTGGCACCGAAAAGTATTGAGGGATGGTGAGCGAGTCCAAGGTCAGCCGAGGAGCGTGCGATGGCGCCAAGACCGCACGATGAACAAAAGCTGGTCAGCCGCTAAATATAGAGCGCGATGCGCAAAAGAGACGGGGTTGAAGGCACTGACGACATGCCGAAATTTAAGGAATAAGTTGGAGAGCTCGTTCGTTTGGCAGGAATAAGTGAAATAAGTACGTGCCGAACTTAACGTTTACAGAAAATTTACTGAAGAAGCTGCTTGCGATCAAAGTCCTGTAAATTTTTTGTAGGCGAGATCAGTCCGAGATGCGTATCGGACAGTGGGAAGGCCCGCAAAAAGCGTTCTCGGGAGGTTTTGTGACCCTCTCGCACCGCGCAATCGCTCTCTCATCGGAAGTGACCATTTTTTGGTGCCTGCGGCGCGTTCAATGCTCAGAGTAGCCCTTGTGTGGTCATTTTCTCGCGCCTGCGGCGCCTGCAACGCGCAAGTGCCACATAACCAAAATTGGACCACCCAGCGTCCAAGACCGCACACATACGAGAACCACGAAAATATTTATATTTGTATATACATTTAAATAGTCTGCTTCTCGGACCTACCTTCCAAACCGTTGAGGTGTGCTCTCGAGGGTGGGCGAGAACGAAATCCGCACTCCCATGGACGCAACCCAGAATCCGGCTGAGCGACTTCATCTCGTCGTTCCCTCCGGACATCCGTCGCTTACATGGTCGGCATCTCCTCGATCACCCGCGGCCATTTACTGGCATTTACGACCAACCGTAAATTTCTCTGATTATACTGACTTA